CATATATTGAGCGTTGAACCCATCAACAAGAGGTTTGGAGGATGAGCATAACATTTTAAGGAGAAAGTTGACCCGTTCCATAATCCTCTAGCTCATGCCAACCCGAATCATGGTGGACGAAGATTCAAGAACTAATGATATTAATTCAAAGGGTCCAAATTGGAGTTTCACATTTCCATGGAAGAATGTATACAGAAGACCTCCTTTATTAGGAAGCAAGTTGAAAGTGTTAGAGTAATGGACAATACTATGAAAACAGAATATTCACACTTGGGAATTAATTAAGGCAAAAATAAGATAGAAAATTTGGCTTACTCAATACATTACTTTATACGAACGATTCCATAGATTGCATGAATATGATCTTAGAGTTGATAAGTACACTCACAAATACTATGACTTACCACTTCGAGTCGGCCTCCAAGCAAACTTGTAACTCATTGGAAATAGAACCACCAAATTGGAAGGTCAGAAACAAGTGGAAAGGGAAATTATTCAATTTAGGGCTGGTAGAACTGTTGGCAATGGATTTACACCATCTACATTTGAATGTTTCAATTAATTACTAGATAAGTCATATTTCTTTACATTCGTCATCAGGTTAATCTAATAGTGCTTGAATTTGAATTTACTGATTCTGTCAAATGGTAAATATGTCTTCCATTCAAGGTGAGACTTAAACTCAAAAATGGTGTGGGAAGAAAGGAAGAGGAAATCGATCATCTGCAATAGAAAGTTTTAAGCCCCTAAGGTGGACGAAGGGAATGCTGGAGAAAACAACGTATATATGTACCAATGTGAACACTACAGAAAACATGTTTAGTGTGATCGTTTACAATAGTATCCACTAACCAAATAATCCGCTTTCCAAAAATGTCCATACAAAAAGCACAAGACATTACCACCATATTCATTTACATTAACTGAAGGTAAAAGTAAACAAATTAATCAAATGCTCATTTCCTCCACTGTATACAGATGGCAGTACTAGAGATTTTTAATCTATTGAATATCCATCTTACCATGATATTGAAAAAGAAAATCACGTGGTTAGAATTCATTACCTTCACGAATAAATAAATCTCGGAAAAGCCTCTTCAAATACGAATAATCTGGCTTGTCCTCAAATCTTAATGATCGACAATAATGAAAATACGATACAAACTCCGATGGATATGATTTGCACAGCACCTGTAAATATTTACAAATCACGTGAACTTTCTGCAAGAGTCATCACATAAGTAACATAACTAAATGGACGACCAAATTAGGGGAAGATGAGTGGGCAATTGAACCGCACCCGATGCTTCAAAATTATGGTTGAAATTTAGAGTAATATAAAGATAAATCTTATAGAGAATTTTGAGGAATAAGGAAAAGATCTTTTACTTCAAGTACGAATCAGCCTGCGATCAAGTGCATGAGAAATATATTAAGCTTCAAAACGGCTATTCCTAAGTTAGATCCTCAATTCAAAACAGCTACTCTGAAGTTAGATCCTCAATGCAGCATTTCAGTCATACTACGTAAACATGAACTTGAGAAGCACACACAATTGCCTACATAAGCTATGCAAAAATGAAACCAATTATATACCTCTATAGGGGTTAACATCTTCTTTTCACTAATCTTGTCATATTTCTGCTTCTTGGTGCCGGCTTTCAACCCCTGCCAGGGAAGGCTGAGACGAAAAGGAAACACTGAAATTATTAAGAAATGTACCATTCTATAACCATATTCAATTAAGAATTCAAAACAGGTAGGGGAACGCCCAGAAAAATAACAGGAGACATTTCTCATATCCAACCTTCCTCTCAGGAGATACATAAGGATATAACCAAGAGATTCCAAGTCATCCCTTCGGCTTTGTTCTGCAAGCATAGTTAAATATGTATGCTTAGCTATTTAGATTGTTCCAAAATCTAACCTCCCTAATCAGAAACAACTTATAATGAGATGGTACATCACTCACCAACGCCAAGGTGTGTGTTGACACTGGCATAACGAGCAGTACCTGTAAGATTTTTGTTTTCCCTGGGCAAAGTCAAAAAGGTTCCACCATAAGAATATGACAACAAAGAGTGGACCATCTTTACAAAGTTAGCTCTATTTATATGTAAGTAACACAAATCAGTTGGCATGATCGATCAGCAAACTATATCTTATTTGAATTAGAAGTTGGCAAGAATTCTTTTAAATTGTTCCAATCGATCCAGTAAATACATCTACAAGAAGATCCATTAAACTCAGATCGTTTGCAATGACATCAATCCATGTTAACTTAAAGTATACCTCTCCCTCTACTCTTTGATATATTGGGATTACATCAACAGCTACTTCAAAATCTAACACGGTTGAAGATCCTAAATGACTCCTGCCACTCCTGCCTGAATGGTAATCATGGTATGCTAACATTTCCGTTCTTTTCACACAAAAAACAACTATCACCTTGTCCATCACAGATATTGAAGCTCATATCTTCAGGTAGACAACATAAAGAGTTCGAATATAAAAAAAAAAAGGAAAAAAAGATGAACATAATACAGCAGAAACACAATTGAATGAAAGCCAACCACGGAAAGAGAACGCTGCAAGAAACTTTTAAGAAATATTGGGAAGGAACCTGTAGGGTATGTGCTTATGAGTCTGGAGGTCCCTATATTTTTTGGCAAGACCAAAGTCAATGGCGTAAACCTGCAATAATACTATACATTTACTATAAAAGGCAACTCAACCTCATGCATGAAGAAATCTCCCGTGATTAATTAGTTAACAATTTAATATTTGATGTCCCAAGTACATTAAAGAGGAATTTTTACCTTTTGAGAAAAGAATATATAAAACAATAATTTAAAAACTAAAGAAAACTTCAAAAGAATCCCAGCAACACAATAAATTTAAAAGATGATAATACAACTTCATGCAGTGACAACAAAATGGAAGATGGAAGAGTGCATCCATCTCAACCCTAGCTCAGAATTGTTCGTCACCATCAGATTCCTCACTAATATCCTATGATCTTATGCTTATCATTCATTCATTCTCTCTACTTGATAACGACCTAGAGCATGCTCTTATAATCCTAGCGCATGGGAGCAAGCTAATGATATAAACAATTTAAGCCTTTACCTGCTGAATCCTTTAAATAAACTAGATTTTCAATAGTTACCATTAGTCTATGTAAGAGATATGTATAGGATGTCAAATGTACAAAGAAAGAGATGATATTTGAAAAGGTTTAGTAATTGCTGTTAGTCTACGCAGGAGAATGTTTAGGATGTCAAATATACAAAGAAATAAATGAGAGTTAATTAGTCTCTCTCTCACTCTCCCTCCCTCCCTCCCTCCCTTGAACGCATAGAAACACACAATGGACTATACAACAGGAAATGGAAGATAGATCTCTCAATAATATATGATTTATTAGTTTGTTTCCTGCATGATTAGTACCACAAGGCTAGAAAGAAATCATGATTTGAGGCCATGTAACAAGTGGGAGCAGTTAACAAAGATTAGAAAATATATAAACAATTAGCAGCAGCAAATTAACAAGCATCAATAGGAATATACTTTAACCCATAAACTTATATGTAGAACACTTGATAAACCACCTAGAGCGTGCTCATAAATCCTAACCATAGCAGCAAGCCTAAGAACCATTGAAAAACGTACCTGATTTGCTTTGCGCCCTAAGCCCATCAAAAAGTTATCAGGCTTTATATCACGGTGAAGAAACCCTCTTGAATGCATGTATTCCACTCTATTAATCTAAGCAGAATCATAAGTTAATAACAACCAAAAGTAAAGCTTTTGGAAAGACTTCATCGAATTGTATAACCACTCACTAATTGATCTGCGAGCATTAGTACTGTTTTCAAGGAGAACTTTCTGTTGCAATAGTTGAAGAGATCTTCCAGACTTGGTCCAAGAAGGTCGATTACCATAACACTGTACTCTCCCTCACTTCCGAACCATTTCAGGTTGGGAATGCCAGCTACAAGGAGAAAAGCCAACAAACATTGTTACTAACGATCCAGAAAATGTGAACAAAATTTTAAATTCATATTTGAATAAAATAACGGATTTCTAGATTCCATTAGTTTATATTATCATTATATGAAAGGTTAAAACTCACCTGAAGAGATAAAACAAAAGAGAAAATATTGTTATTTATATTTTAAAATATGATTTAAATTGAAATTCAAAAAATAAAATAAAACAAAACAATGCAAGGCAGGTTTAGTGAATTCGGGGCAATGACCATGATCCCCATCCCCGCCACATTTACCATTTGGGGCAAGGATTCCCTGCCACATTTGGGTCGGGACAATGCAGAAGGCAAGGCGGGGGGTATTTGCCATCCCACTTCTTCTAAGGGGAAGAAGTGGATTTGCTTATACCTATTTTAATTTAATTTTCAAATTTAATCTCCTCTTTCAAGGGGAAACGCTGGATTCGATAGTCTTTACCTTTTTAGTCTGTAAAGCAATAAAAGCAAGCTATTATGTCATTTTCATTTAATTTTCAAATTGATACTTAAGGAAATATATAACTGATGAAAAAACTCAGAAAGGCAGTGCTGAGAGAGAGAGAGACTTACTTCCACCTTGGAGAAGTATATAAATTTTTGATTCATAGTGAAGTTGAGGATGCTTGGTCTTCACAGATTCCTGGTGGTTGCAGTAGTTATAGTAGAATTTTGTGTAGGAATTATAAATATGTGCTGAGAAATAATATCAATCATATAATCTTCCTTGAAACTTTTAACTTTTCAAAATACAAGGCGACCTAGTAGCATAAATTTTTGATTCATAGTGAAGTCGAGGATGCTTTGTCTTCACAGATTCCTGGTTGTTGCAGTAGTTATAGTAAAATTTTGTGTAGGAATTATAAATATGTGCTTAGAAATAATATCAATCATATAATCTTCCTTGAAACTTTTAACTTTTCAAATTACAAGACGACCTAGTAGCATACATCAACTCTATTACATAAGTTAATTAATTCCCAATTTTTATCTCACATTATGAGTAAGTATATCTACCATCGTGACATAAGTATGCAGTTATGTCAATGACACCAAAGCATTGTTAAATGAATGGAAATGGGATATGGATGGAACATATGAAATAAAGCCACTTTGAGGTTTCCTCTGACATGAGAAATATACTTCAGGAAGTGCTCACATGAAGTGCAATGACTGCTTCTCTCTATATATGAACAAATGCTAATTCAGTTCTTCAAGAAAAAATTGCTTTTACGATTACACGAGCTAACCCTTCAATACCTTGGAAGCAAACTTAGTTAATTCTACTCAAAACGTATCAAACGAAAAGAGTTTATAGTTCTGTGTTTCTTGTTTAGTCCACATTTTATGGAACTCTCTATCTTGCTAATGCATGCAAAACAACAGAGAAAACTTAGCCTACGTCAATTCATGAATGAATATTAATGAACTATCATTAAAAACAAATGCTAATTCAGATTCATAAAGAAATAAATGCTTTTAGAATTACATTAGCAAAATCTTAGATATATTGGTCATTTCTACCTGAAAAAGGATCGAACTGAAAGAGTTCTGCAGTTCTATATTTCTTAGTCCAAATTATTTGTTTATCCACATTTTTTGGAAGTCTTTATCTTGCTACTCCATAGGAAACAATAGACGGCACTTAGCTTTTAAACCCTATCATTCAGCATTATGGATGACAGAATGAAACGGCAAGCATTGCAGATCCACAGAAGCATCTCAAGAAAATCATGTCAAAATAAGTAACCCTCCTTGGATCATACAGGAGCGCGGCAATACGACACAAAGGGTTTGGTTAAAATAGCCAGGTTCCACCAAGTATACAATGGAACCTAACCTAACTTGTTCTCCGATTATATCTTCTAAATTGTCCACACTAACAATCCATCCTTCCCCTCCAAAGGGCGATTTTAGTAATTAACCAATAACAATAAAGTTCGTTACACAATTAAAATAGCCCATCATTTAATCAAAGAATTAAACCCAAAACTTCAGATAACAAAAAGAATAAAAGAATAAAAGAACAGAAGCAAAAAGTTGCATACCAGCTTGATGGCAACTTCTTCTCCATTTTGAATATTGACACCTAAATCAATAGAGTCGACAGATATTTTCAAGATAACATGAGCAAAATTCACCTCCAATAATATCCACAAGAAATAACAAATAAAAGGGAAAAAAGGACTGATTACAAAGTCTAACTAAAATGTACCTAAATAGAGTTCACCAAATGAACCACTTCCAATTTTCCTACCAAGCTTGAATTTTCCACCCACAACATGATCCATGATAAATAATTAGAATTCGACAGCCACCACTCTTCAATGAAGACTTCACCAAATTTCAATAATACCCACAGCTCCCAGGAGCTTGATTGCCAATCTCAACAGCAATCCAGAGCCCACTAGATAATTAATGTCAACCCCTCAAACAGAATCAAGAAAACTTACCAAATTACTACCACAAAACGGATCCAAGAAATCAGTACCGAAAAACTATCAGGAAAATTCTTCGATTCTTAAGCTACGTTCTTGAAATATTAATCAACATAAAGCTTAAACCGAAAACCTAACTGCGGGATCAAAATGGATCCTCATTGATCAAATGAAATGAAAACAGAACAAAAGGCAATCAATATATGAACAGATATCTATCTATGAGATTGAAAATATGTATATATAATTGCTTTTTGTTTAATTCTTTCAAAATGAGTGTGTCGTAGAATTATGATAAAGATTAAAAAAATAATGGGATAGACAAATGAGCGAAGATTGAGGGATTAGAGAGAGAAAGAGACAGCAAAAGCAAAAATGATATGAGAGAGAGAGAGAGAGGATATGCAATGTGAGCGTGGGGATTGACTAGTAAACGAAAGTAGGCTTGACCATATTTATGTGCATACACGTTCGATTTAAAGCCTGATTACAAGTTAATCACGACACAATTAACTTATTGTCTCAATAACCACTTAGTTTAAGTTGATGTCTATGATTATTCACCAAACTTAAAATGTCAAATTTTGGTTACTATACTTTTCAAAGTGTCGGACATTATTCACATAAATCACTTTCTTTGAAATCAACTTTTCAAATTTGCGTTTGCACGTTCGATTTAAAACCTGATTACAAGTTAATCACGGCACAATTAACTTATTGTCTCAATAACCACTTAATTTAAGTTGACGTCTATGATTACTTACCACACTTTAAAATGTCAAATTTTGGTTACTATACTTTTCAAAGTGTCGGACATTATTCACAGAAATCACTTTCTTTGAAATCAACTTTTCAAATTTGCGTCTGCATGATGTGAAAACTTGTATTTTGTTTATTGTCTGTGTTTAATATTGTGTTATTATGTGTTTTAAAAGTTCTTTTTAGATTGAACATTTTATAGAATTATTTTGCTAATGGAATTGTTATATGTTTTATGACTATCATGTTGAATGGTAAAAGTCGAAAATTCCTTAAGAGTTCAATATGTTTGAATGTGTATGCTTAGTGATACAATTGTTTATGTTTTCTAGTTTCATAAAATATTAAAACAAGAACATATTTTCTTATTGTCAGTGCCAATACCTTATGATATTTTAAACATGGAATAAGAAGAGAATTTTGAAGAAGGGAGTAACATTTTGTACTGTTATATTTGGACGAAGTCGTCTTAAGTGAAATCAAATCAAAAGTATAGTTATCCAGTTAAACAAATTTTAAGTAAAACTACTAGTAAGGAATGGTGATCTTGACTTGATTGTGTCTCGTATGACTGTATTATATTCAATCAACTAAATAATTTAATAAAATGTTTGAGTCTGGAAAGTACATTTTAGCACTTAATAACACAACATTCAATACAAAAAATAAACAAAACTCGTGTGCTTCTTATAATCACGGCGTCTCTTCGAGAAGTTTAGTGGCCAAAATTTGATCAACTTAAAGTTTAGTGAGCAATCAAATACTGTAAAGTAAAATGGGCACTCAAACACTCATTGCTAACGTGGATTGTCTCTCTTTCGTGATTGGACATCTAACAGTGATGCACTGCGCAGCTGTGAAATCCTTCTGCCAAATCAACAATTCCATTGGGAACACGAAAGAAAGTAATTCAAATAAATAATGTTCGACACTTTGAAAAGTTTAAGTGGTCAAAACTAAACATCTTAAAATATATTGAGCAATCAAAAACGTCAATTTAAGTTTAATAATTATGAAACAATTAACTCATCGCCTCTTTATTGAATTCGATTTGAACAAACCAAAAAATCTCTAAAGAGGCAATCAAAAGAATAATATTAATAAAAATAAATCGAGCAAGTGAATACTATTGAAATTTCTTTGTCGTTGAATATATTAATATCATTCATCTAACAAAAAATTATATTTGTTATTGACTTGGGACAACATTATCTACACTTAAATTCTCAATCAACTTGCGTTTCTTCAGTTATTACCAACATCTTTGTTACTTTTGTCATTGGTCGGACGAAGTCTCGTAGATAGACCATAAATTATAAAGTTAAAAGTAGAAAAAATGTTTGAGGACTTGGAAACAAATTTGTAATTTTACACCAAATTTAACAAATTTTTGGATGAAAATCATGTCCAGTCTGTCTGCCAATTTCTCAAAAATTGGAGATAAAAGCTAGACGAAAAATAATTGAGGACGTGATCGCTATTTTGACCAAAGGTCGCAGTAAATTTTACGATTTACCCAACGAAAATTAGTCTAAATACTTCCAAGTTTATTGAAATTTATTAGGGAGAAAAAATAAATTAAAAAATTAAAAAAGACTTCTACTAATAACGATTCTACAAAAATTGTATAGCATTACTAACGGATAACATTTTACATAAAGGGGCGTTTGGTTATACTGCATTAGAGTATATAAGATGGGAGTGGATATGATTAGGTGGATACAGGACAGACTGTTACTATATTGTTAGTTAGAGTACATATAAATTATTTATTTCTAAAGTAAAATGTTTATAAACAAAAATTTACATAGAAGTACTGACTTCTAAGCTTTACCAAACAATCCCTTACAAGCAATTTTAGATTTGTCACACTTTCAAATGACTTGGAAGTAATTACTTCTAAGCTTAACCGAACAATTCCTTACAAGCCATGTTTAAGAATTGTCTAGCACTTCAAAATAACTTCTAAGATATAATCCATTACAGTGCTTATAAGCACCTCCAAATAAAATTTTAAGGCCTCTTTTATTGGAAATTAAGGTTAAAGCCAAATGGAATTCCACCGTTCATACCCCTCTCCAAGGCATTTCTTCATTCTTTGCCCATCAAAACAAGTCTTCAGTTTAGTTTTTTGTGGTATTGTAGTTCAAAGACTTGCTCTTTTAAAAGTAAGCCTTTACTTAAACTTGGCTAAAAATGCTCTAAGACTAGTTAAAAGGTATCCATCCCATTGTCCCATAAGCTCACATCCAAAAGCTTTACTAGTGTAAAGACAAGAACATCAAATATGTACCAAATTCAAGGAAAGTTCGTGCAGGGTAAACTTTCCCATATCTGCAACATCAGTGTTCCCATATTGCAGTGGTCTTGTGGGCTAAATATCTTCGTTGAGTTTTTCTTACATTTTTTTTTTTCCCTCTTTGGGAGCGGGGCTCGTTAATATGGAGATCTTTCCCAGCTAATTTCTTTCACCAAAATGGGCAAATTTGTAACGCTTAAGTCAGATGTAGGGACAGAGGAACAAACTTATTCCGTCAACAGCAGCAGAAAAAAAGGGTCATTCTTTAGACACCATGAAAAACCACTGCCTGAAAGCCAAATGTATGTTTGGTAAAGCTTAAATATAATTTAAAATGGTCAAATATACTTCTTATCCACATATTTCGTAGGACCCACAACTACTGATCACTTATCACCCACACATTCCCTAGTAGTCATAGCTTATATAATCGCTTAAATGCACAACCAACCATACTTTCTTTTTTCTTTTTTCTTTGTTCTTTTTTTTTCCCAGGAAGGACGGAGGGGGAGGTGTTCAATGATCATAAACTCGAGACATAACAAAAAAGTTCAATTAACCACAGACACGGAAAAGATGTTGTTAAGCATTGGTGGAATCATGCTCACTATATAACAATTGCAAAGTGAAAAGTTCAGTTAATAATAAAAAAGTTGAAATCAAACAGTTCTTGTTCAGTATTGTTTCATTTACACATAATTTCATCTATCTTTGATGTATGTTCTTCTATACACAGCTGTGATTTTGAAGACAGGATGAAAAAATTTAGGTACAAATCAGATATGCTAGTCATCACATCTTGGATACGGTTAAAGAGAAAAACGAGACAAGAAGCAGTTCTATAGCTTGAGCACGGCATTTTTCTTCATCCATGACGAAAGAACTAACCCCATAGTACAGCATTCATGCATATTGCCAAACAAGGAACTTACAAGAATTTATTACTTCACTCCTCTGGAGCTTCAAGATGGGGAGGCATGAGATTCAGGAAGCTTCGTTGAGATGATGGACTACCAGCCTCTGATGTTTCTGTTTCATCCTCTGTTAGAAAAGTAAGTTTTATTGGTAAATGTAACTTTTATAAGTTCTCTTGGCAAAAAGAAGTTTGTGAGGTCTAATTCTTTTTAAGTTTAGCCAAGAATGAATTAAAACAAACTCACGTTCATGTTTTAATGTTCTAAAAAACCATAAAGGCGACCAAATTGGCTACAATTGAAGGTTGAATATGCTCCAGAAAAAGTAAATGGAATGTATAAACATACCAAACAGTGATTTGATTGTAGGCCTCTTCGGCTTACTATTTTTCTTCTTCAATTCAGCTATGGAAAAGAAAAGAGATCTAAAATCAATAACAAGAAGAAATATATCGTCATTCAGAAAATAACAACAATTGTGACGGCCACACTTGCAAAATTTAGCCGCAGAAAGGCCGTGAATAGCATGCACAATACAAAGTATATATATAGTTAGTTTGTGAAAGCCTCACAAACACGACATAATAACATGTGTGTTTATGTAGCAACATGCAAGAAAGTCACGAGAGAGAGAGAGAGAGACCCATTCCAGGCACTTGATAGTCGTTCACGATTTCGAAGTTCTTGTACGTGTAACCAACGAAGTTAATATCTTTGGATGAAATCATCTACACAGTGAAAGGAACAAAATAAGTGCAAGGATAAAAAAGAATTGAGATGATGAAAATAAGTATTCATAATGCATTCGAAGATAATAGTAAAGCTTGCTGTGTATGCAACAAATCTAAAACCTAATAAAATCTGACCGACTACATGACATTGAACAAAAACTAGTGGTCTAGAGTCTTAAAATGGGAGAAGAATGTCTCTAAAAAACAAATGCAAGGATAAAAAAGAATTGAGATGATGAAAATAAGTATTCATAATGCATTCGAAGATAATAGTAAAGCTTGCTGTGTATGCAACAAATCTAAAACCTAATAAAATCTGACCGACTACATGACATTGAACAAAAACTAGTGGTCTAGAGTCTTAAAATAGGAGAAGAATGTCTCTAAAAAACAAATGCAACTTTGGGCTAGCATCATAATTCTTATGCTCCAAAAATTATTTCTAATTTTATATTACAAAACTGGATTGGTCTATTGCTTTGCCTATTTGTTAATAATTAGAGTTTTAAGTCGAACAAAAACTCTTGTTCGGGATGAAGGTAGTCATTCATTTTGATTGCCTAGTTCTAATTACATCTGTAACTTAGAAGAAAAATACAGCTTTTTCATTTGCCAATTTGAAAGGACAATACAGTCAAACCAATGGGAAAATCCAAATAAGTGGCAACCAAGTCTCTTGGAGTTCTCAACATATAAGAGTAAAGTAGACGCATCGTATCTATAGAAATCATGGATGCATCCAAATAAAAAGACTAAGTAGCACCATAGAGAGAACCTTTCTCCATGGACCAGATTTTGATGAAGTGTGAGCTTGGATATTAGACTGCGACCAGAGAAAATCATGGTTAACTACACGTCTACTCACAAGACATGTAATACAAGTAAAAATAACAAACCAAACTCATTGTGAAGAACTCTAATACCTCTTCAAATTTCTCAAAATTTTGGGTGTCCAGCTCATTTTTGACTTCAGGAATGAATGCAGCTTCCACATGATATATTCTGTCCCAGTCAATTCCCTTGAACCACGGGTGAGCCTAACTCGAAAAAGAAGCCCAATAATTTACATAATTTTCCATCAACTCCTGAAATTGATAAAGAATATAGCGTAGGAGACACCACAAAACACCTTTATTTCATCAGCGCCTTTTGAACCCAGCCTTTGGTTGACATTACAAAGTAGCTTGCTTATAAGATCTTTTGCTTCTAAAGATAGCTTTGCTTCTTCTGGAAACTTTAAATGTGTCCTCCAGTTCACTATCTGCACATAAAAATAAAGTAACATTCTCGAGTTAATGTAATCAGGATTTTCGTTTACTTTGCCTTTGTCAAATGAGCATGGGAACAGTGGTAATTTTTTTATTTTTTTTTTAAACCTAAAATGAGAACACATCAATGTTGGTAATAACTAAAGCAGGCCCCCTGCGGGGAGCTCACACAACAAGTTAAATCTCCCGTTGTTCTTCAATAGCTTAACAGAAGAGCAGCTTGGTTATTTACCAGTTGGTAGTATGTATGATCCCAATTGCAGAGAATTGTTTTACTCTGAAATAACAAATTCACAATAAAGGAGCTTGCTTCGACTGTTAAGAGTAGGTAGCTTGTTACCTGTCTCTGAATCCTTTGTTCTATAGCCCAGGCTCTATCTATATCTAGCCAAGATGTCCTAGCAACATCTCAAACATGCACTCAAATCATCTCTCAAGGGGTCGAAATTGCCACAGGCAAATATAATAATGACAAAGAATGTCAGCTACTAGTGTGTGTACTCCGGTTTCTATAAGGAAGAGCTTGAAGCATAAAAACAGAAGAAAATGTTGATAGGCTGTGTACACACTGTGTAATTCCCTCATTCATGATAAATAATACATTAAAAAGAGAAATTCATCCCAAAAACCCACAAGCCAACCAAGTTCCATGGCTTTTGGTCTATCATCTCCATTGATTTTTGCTACACCTAGAGGAGAAGGAAATTCCCTTTCAGGCCAATTAGGGGAGGAAGCGCTTCAAACCCTTGATACCATGGGCATAGCTCTACATGTTCTAGTCCTCTTAAGATACAGGCCCCAGGATGTTTTCACTTGATCTGTTCCTTAAAGCACCCCAGAGAGAGATATCTTCCTCTCCTCAGCCATTTCAGGTTAAAAGGTGAATTCATGTTGATTTCTAAAAGTATAATGCACTGATAATCTTGAATTTTGGGAGGGATATCATAAGTGAGGTTTTGTATAGGATGTCGTCATACTTTCAGTATTTTCTTAGGAAAAGGACAGTGAGTCGTGCTTTTATTATCCTGGCATCTAACTATTCATAAGCAAGATTTCCACGATCACGTGACATGGCTGCAGTAGACTTTGACAAACAAGTCCCTAGCACATTTGAATATAAAACCACGAACGAAGAAAAGAGCATATTGACTAGTTACAATGTGTGATTAGTGTGGTGACTGTGGTCAACAAAGGCCTCTTCCATTCCATCCCTTGGATAAATAAAGAGATACAGCAGAACTTTTGGGATTTTAATGGTGTCGAAATGTTGAATAGTGGTTTTTTTTTTTTTTAGGGGTCATGTCAGGGGTTGTCAAAGATTTGAACAATGAAAATTAGATGGAGTGCCTCATCAAATTGTTTGGGTCAAGTAGAAACAAGATTCGTGTCCACCAACCTGTTGTGAAATCCTCTATCACTCCATCCAAGCAAGAGTAGAGAACCTGTCATTCTCTCGATTTTGATACTAAGTTTCCAGAAATTTGGAATAATAGAGGACTCATCTTATTTGGCTTCCTACTTAAATGCTTTCAGCAATCACAATAATCGGTAATTAAAGGTGTGTCCTACAGAGTCCTCTAGTACAAGCGAAATGTATACTAAATAATCAACTCCCTTACCTTACATGTCTAACTTCTAACAGCACCCTAAACCACGCTCATGTACCAGTCTAATGGGTGAAAATCCCCTCAGAAATAGGTGGCAAAAGGCCTGCATTGACTTGCCAAATTCTGATCCCTGCTCGTAAGTTGGGTCTTGCAGTCAAACTCCCTTTATCCTCTGCACACGACAGCCTGGAGACTTTTACACACTTCTGTTACCTTTTGCAAGGGAAATGCCCCAAACACTGGATCTATTGTTCATATATGCATGTGTAGTAACAGTTACTCATATTCTTTACTAATCAGAGACCAAATGATTAAAGAGCAGCATGAAACATGAATAAATAGAAGTGAAAATTTAGTAGAAGCCATAAACAGGAACTAAGTAAAGACCACATATGCAATATTAGAGTGAATGTTGCAAAATACTCAGCAATGGAAAAATAGAACTTACCTTCCTACAAGTTGACATAGGATCATCAGAATAAAAAGGTGGGTATCCCACAAGCATTTCATACATGATAGCACCAAGTGACCACCTGCAGAACAATGACTCGCCTGATGTTGCAATATAGGATGTAAATAATCCACTTTTTCTTTTTATGGACCGGGTGTGTGGGTGAGGGACACTTCAATCACGTTTTACAAATAAAGCACAGATGATTGCATAAAATGAGGGTGCTTCAAAGGAAAGGAGCAAGCAAATAAAAGATGTTACCAGACTCATTGAGCATAAATATCATTTAGTAAAATCTGGACCTTTATTTCCCACATGGAATCAGTACACTTTCGAGTTGGAATAATAGATGCAGTTCATTTTTTATGTAATAAAATTCCATGGTCCAAAGAGGCATGCAAATAAATTCAATCTGAGTTTATCAACATGTAGAGTTTAAAAGGGCAATCATATCTATGAAAGCGAAAACTAAAGAAAAAGGACCGAGATGTAAGTAAGTCATAATGTTCTCTTGGTACAACAAATGAACTACTAACCAATCACATTCCATTCCATAACCTTTCTTTAGCAGAACTTCTGGAGCAATGTAATCAGGTGTACCAACAGTGGAGTAAGCCTGCAAGATCCTTATCCAATATCAAAAGCAAAACTAATGCCTCAATCACCAGTCTCAAAAATAGCATTATCACAACACTAAAATTCATTCCTCCATATTTTCATGCCCAAAATGATTAATTGTTCCGTAGCTCTTTATGTCCATTATATGAACCATCCAATTACTTTTTCTTTCATGTTAGCAATCAATATTAAAAAGATCTGTCAATTGGGAGTAAGAAAATATGTGCATGTTTGGAGCTTAAAATTTTAATTAAAGATAGTGTACATATAAGTTTTGCTGTACATATTTTTTTATGTTGACCAAGTTGGAGATGACAAAAGTTATGTCCCCAAATTTAACCGCTACTTTAATATCAGAATAAATAACATTTTTAACTTATAGGTAAGAAAAAATCAACCCATCCAAACTTTTTGGGAACAAAATTTACTTAAAAGTAAGTCTGACTTAGCTTAGCCGAACATGCTCTACATAGATAAATGACTTTCTGTAACAATGCCATGAAACTTACAAGCATCCGCCTATTTTTCTGCCAATGTTGTAATTGTTCCTGTTGTGTACGTTTCGGAGCTTGAGATCGTTCGTCTCTTCTTGAAGTTCCGTTAAGGCTTTCACCAACTGTAAAGTCCTCTTGCAGAGTACTGCAGTCCAAAGGTTTACAGAGGCCAAAATCCGATAATCTTAAATGACCATATCTATCGAGTATTAAGTTGTCAGGCTTAATATCTCTGTAGCAAATCAATGTTAACAAAAGGTGTCAGACAAACTAAAACACCCAATGAAAATGCAGAAATCAAGAAGGAATCATCTTTAAAATCAGACATCCGCAAACCTATGTATATAATTATGTTTGTGGATAGATTCAATAGCTAAAACCGTCTCCGCTATGTAAAATCTGGCCACGTCATCAGTCAAGGTATCCTTTCTCATAAGTAAAGTCATCATATCTCCACCGGGTAAATATTCCATTATAAGATACAAATACTCTTCATCTGGACGGAAGGAGGAGTTGCGGAGGTTGTCTGAGTCTGCTGGAGTCTGGGTATTGCAGGCAACTCAGGATATTGAAGATACTACCCCAGCCCCCCAAGACCCTTAGGTGATTAAAAACATTGATTTTTGGTATTTTAGTTTGTCAATATATTTTTGGCTTACGAGTGAACTTTGTTTTGACTGTTTATGACATTTTGTTTAGAATGGATAATTGTTTATGACATTTTGTTTGGCATGGATAATTGTTTATGCTCAGTAAAGTTTTTTTTTTTTTTTTTAAAAACAATAAAAAAAAAGAATGTAATACAATAAGAATATAGCATTCTACACAGAAAACTCCAGTACTAGTGAACTATGTGGTAAAATAATTATTGTTCAGGACAGGTCACATCAAGGCAAAACAAATAGCTTTCGAGCATGAATTTGCTAGTTATTGATGCATCCTCGCCTGACATTGTTACTATACATCTGCAATTTAACAAAATACCAAAACAGTGTTGAAATTTTTGTTTGGACAATATTCCTCTATTTAACATCTAGATTTTAAAATCTAAATCAATAAGAATCAAATTGACATAACCAGAGGTAGAACAAGTTTTCATTCGCTATGAAAAACCCAACTTTTCAGGAGAACCCAAAATAATTCCTTCGTTTTCAAATTGATTTCCCTACTTCAAACTTTTAATTGAGCTGAAATTCATATCAGATGGTTTTCATTTACTTCATGAGAGTGCCTTAAAATTCTCTTTGTAGCTTTAAAACTGGAAGGGGAGGGATTTCTAATAACAGGGTGGTTTTTTAGCTTATTTTGGTAACAGGAAAATTTTAGCTACTTCAGAAAACCACAAGTGTTGAAATCGACAGAAATGCTGAATTTTCAAGTCAACTCCAAACCGAGAACCAGTTGGAAGGCTGTTCCAAAGAGGAACATGCTAAATATGCAGCCATACAAATACTACAGCACACTTTGAAGGGATGCCTACTTTGTCAAATACTATTCAATACGTTAGCCATGTAGAAAATGAGCAAAACATAGAGAATAACGTTTTCTATTGAGAGAGCTAACATAAGGAGTCATGTGACCTCAAAGGCAAATTGCTTCAGATGCTCACAATCTCAAGCATTACTTGTATTAGTAACATCCATACCTTTTGTATTCAGCTTTTAATAGTTATTGCACCAAGTGCACGCATTAAAGACCCCGGGTCTAAATATATTACCCTATGGTGTGTATGAGGTGTCATGGAGACAGAAACAGAGGTGCTTGTTCAACTCTTCATCATTGGTGAAGGGCGAAATGTCAAGACCATCAAAATATTTAGCTGTTATGCTTAGCATCAAAACATATAGCTATTGCACCCAAGTGACAANGACCTACAGTTGGGTTAGTGGTGCATGCAACTCTGCCACTGGGTTCGGATGAAATCATAATTTTTTCTTGCCTTCTTCTAAGATGATGAAACCCTCCATCCAATCTCTCTCTCTCTCTCTCTCTCTCTCTCTCACACACACACACATCGTGAATGCTTTACACAAAGAGATATGTGGTATATAAGTCTACCAACTACTCAAGGACACATGTTCAATGTTAAAAACTAACAAACCAGATTAATTGCCCGATGACGAGCGCTCGTAACAAACAACAACAAACTATCACTAATCTTGTATGAGAAGAGAGGAGGAAAAAGAGAAGAAATAGAAAAAGAAAGGAAGAAGGGGAAAGAAATTATGTACTTTATTCAATCATCACATGTTGTCTCACAATGAAAAGCACTCTCTTACATGTGCTAAAAATCCATTAAAAAACAGGGAAACTATCTAATCATAATCATGAAACGAAATAAAGGAAAATCAACCTAGCCTCCGTTTGGGAAGAATTCATAAACAATTTAATTTATAAATAGATAGAATGTGTGATGGATAAATGAGTAGTACTTGTAGATCCATTGAAATGTGTGGTTGAAAGTGAGGTTTGACTAGTTATAAATAATTTATAATTTTTGCCAAATGGAGGCTTAATAATTACAAAATAACTCATATTCTAATCTATAGCAAGTATTTCCATAGATAGTTTTCTCATAATATTCCAAAGATCTCCATCACTTCCTAATTAGACTTAATACAGGTCACAGGCAACTCCTACTCAAAGTCCGGAGAGAAAACAAAAGTGCATTGAACTGTGTTATTGGGGCACATTATTGCTAAATAGAGAATTATGTTCTTTCATATTTATAGCTTTGCTTGTCAATGTTACGCAACTCTTGTTGGCATGCAAAATACCATATTCAAATTCAAATTACAATCACTTTCATTTTGCACAGGAAAACAGTATATTGAGAAGTATATTTGATAGCATTGATATTGAGGTCATAACAACATTTTCAAAGTATGAAACCCCAATGGAACAATCTTAGTGTATCAGAAAAATATTATTACCAATATTCTTGTGTTATTCTCTAGTTACAAATTTTTTATTCTAGCGACACCACTAGATTGCGTACTTACTTCCGTCTCAATGAGCAGAAGGTTTATTGGTTTATGGTGAAATATACCTACTTTTTCATGAAGTATTAAAAGTACATCAATTTGGAGCAAAAATCACTTTTTCCTTGTTTTCAGATCAAATGATGAAAAACAACAGTTAAAGAAAAACACTCCCTGGACCTTGAAAACGATTTCTCTGATTTCATTATAAAGGTATTACCATATTACTAACAATCCGCTCATATACGTGCAAAATACACTTTATCATATCAGGCATTTAGTATCATTTGCTCCAAAGGTAGTGCTTACAGAAAATTGCAACCATAGATTGAGACTTGTGCATTTCCTATAAAGCCAATATTTGCTACAGCTTAAAATCAGTGCTTGCTTTGAAGGGTAACAATGACAGCAACCAAAATTAAGGACTAAACAACACTTCCCTTAAGCAAAAGCTCTATCAAAAATTATGTATAATGGGACAAAATAAGTGTATCTTGCACATCATAAGAAGGTGTCGGTTAATCCTGGAACAGATTTCCACTGTTGCTTTCCAAAAAAAATACTGGAGTTGTAAACTTTATTGCCGTGTAAATAAAAGAAAAGGAAGAGGCATTGAAAAAATTTGGCATACGGTTGAATTAGAGCATGTTTGGTATGTATTTTTTCAATCACTTCTAGTCTTTTTATCAAACGGGACCAACAAGTACTACTCATTTAATTTACCACTCATTTCTATCTATTTATAATATGAACAAATTATAATCACCTACCAAACATACGCTAAATGACCATAAAAAAATTGAAGATTAAAAAGAAGTGCAATAGACTACGTGTTTTAGTGCATTAGCTTGAAGAAACACGAGTGCTTCGACTACAAGATAAAAAGTTTCAATAGGTTTTGAATGTTTTGTTCCACCAACCACTTCATTCCAGTACCTCAAAATTAAGATTTGAACTGCACTTCAGAACTTGTACAATAAAGGAAATCATACCTACTCCTCAAGATGAATTTTATCCTCTTATTTCCATCCTAAACTATTGGTTTTCGGTCTACAGCAGCAAATGGGTTGACAAGCATGTGAAGGGGAGATTAATATTGTTGCCATAGTCTCGTCATAGAGTAATCTAACAACACCTCATATGAGAAAATTTTGAAAATTGCACATTAAAGCAACTACTTTGAGAGCATTCAGATCATCAAAGCACATATCATAAGAATATAATTCAAATGCAACTTTACCAACCATTACATCAGGCCCCTGAGCCTGTAAACTATATATGCGAAAATAGAAGGTGTGATATGAAGCAACGTAAAAGAATAATATTCAGATCACATGACATACCGCTCTCTCCTCTCCTGCAAATTCTTCATCTGCTCCTTGTAATGATTTTCTATGTACTGCTTTGCTGCAGCCACCCTCTGTTTCGTAAGATTTGAGGCCTCCTCGGATGAAAGCTGCTTTGAATCTTCTCTTTCACTATCCATTGTATCCTTCTTCTTACTTGATGCCCTCAAGCGATCACGCGGTTGAAACTTCTGGAACCAACTTCTCGTAGCCATTAATTACTTCCCTCAGCTTAAGAAGTAATTTATAAAGCCCCCAAATGAACTTCTCATTCTGTACTGATTCCATTCATTTCATCATGCCAAAACCTACCACTGACAAAAGATAACTTTATTACTAACCAGCACACAAATATGGAACTGTGTCTACAACAACTATCCCAAAAGTCAAAAACTACCAAAGACAAAAATTCACATGAAACTTTGAAAATCCAAAGTGGGAAAAAATGATAACCCTTCAATAATATATATAAGCACACAGAAAAATCTCGAAAATTCAACCACCTGTGAAAGGTCAACCGATCAAAATGCACAAAATTCAAATTCAATATATCTAACACAAATTTTACGCATCTAGATTTCCAATAAACAGGAAGTGGTGAAAAAAAAAAAAGAGGAAAAAAAATTGATAACAAAACTATCCTACAAATGCGAAGCAATAGGCAAAGGGAACGGCTTACCGCCAAGTCTTCTTGTCGATGAGATAGACCCGATCCGCGAAATACAATCTTGTGCGTATACGTATAAAAATTAAATTGACTGATTAAAAGTATGGTAATTTTTTAGAAAAAATAAAAATAAATTAATATATACGATGCAAAAATAATAGATAATTTGGCGTTTGCACAGGTCGGTAATTATTGGCTTCCGATCCCCTCGTAAGTCTAGAATTTATAACTTCTTGTGGTTTGAATAATTTTGTTCACACTTTTACCGCTATTGAAAAAGAAAAGTAAAAACATAGCTATTGTTATTCATAACTCGTGAATGTAATGGTCATTTTTATGACAATTTATTATTTGAAATATTAATTTTGTATAATTTTATTGTCTCAAATAATAAATTAATACCTCAAATAATAAGCCGTAACATAAAAATAGCTATATTGCCCTTCCTTTTGATGGAAGTAAATGAGCTTTCGTCAATCATGTTTGCGTGTACATTATTGTCTACACCTTCGTTTACATCATGTCAGCTGTCATTATCTCATTTGACAATTTAAAAAAAAAAATAGAATATCTTTTCATCCATTTAGTGCTTATTTGGTATAAATTTTAAGTTAATTAAAATCAATTTTTTGATTGTTATTTCACTATTTCAGCCGTTATTTTTGAATTATTCTATCACAAGTAAGATCTACTTTATCTCTAACAGTAAAAAAAATCAATTATCGAAATTCTTATCAAACAAACACTTATTTTTTGACCACATATCAAGTGTCAACATAAGTGTACACAAATTTATTTACAAATGGCATAACCCAACTTTTCTTGTCATCTTTTGTGTATAGGATTAATCCATTTGTACTAAAAAAAGTTTCACAGAAGATTGTCAAAATACTCTCATGATATGGGGTCCAACATGAAAAAACTTGTCAAAAAATATCCCATCCACCCCTCTATATGTGTGTTCTGACAGAAGAACTGCTATATATCAAGCAAAATCCTTGTGTATATATAAATTGATGTGACTTATTTTTCATATTTTACAATGTTGATACTATACTATGCCTTTGTTTGAGCCCTATTCTAAAAAAAACTTTTTTTTTCAAATTTATTTTTAACTATATATTTTCTCAATAAAATAATTTTACGCGTAAATCAGAACTTTTTACAATTATTTAATCCCACATTCTCCAAAAAAACACTATAACAAATTCTATTTTTTCCAAAAAAAATGCGGTTCAAACAAATTGTGAAAGATAACTATGTTTAAACTTTTACGTTGTAAAATTCATAGGAAAAAAATACGGTAATTTACATATTTCAGATTCTCCATTTTAAACCAAACAAGTCTAAATCCTTGCATAATTAATAAAATCTTATTTGTTCTTTATTTATTGACATTTTACTGTCTGCTATAACATGTTCATCTGCAAGACATATTTTCTCATTTTTGGAGGATATAGAATGTAATTGTTTATTGATAAGAGTTGACTCCTAAAGTGATTGCACATGAACGTGCGTGCATATAAGTTTTTTATTTTTAAATTTTCAACAATTTTATTAAGAGCTTATATTCGTCTAGCAATAAGATTTACATGATAAAATATTGTACAAAAATATACAAAAAGAATATGTGACTCGTTAATATGAGCATATCCATCCCAGTATTTCATACATTACTCGAGTTTGAAAATTAAATGTTCTTCAAGTTACGCGATACTCATTGTTCCTAATAATTTATTTCTTATGATAAAATTCTTCAGAAAATTTGACACGTTGATTTGATTGAAATAATAAATAATTTAATAATTGTAAAATAATATTCAATCCTTAGAATATGGTTCAGTAATGACAATAGGTTTCACCAAATTATGGAACGTAACCAAGCAAATGAATACAACTCAAATGTTTTATAGAAGAGTTGGTGGTGGGATTGCCATCAATCCCAATCAGTACCTAACACACTACTTTAGGATATTTAGAGGGCTTCTCAATAAAGTATAAATAAAGTTATCCGTACAATGTATTTGTACAACTTTATTGATAATAAGTGTGTTGAAAAAATTATAACCATTGATTTTAAAAACAAATTTTCAAATAGATGGATATGATGTTTGTCAAGTCATGCATTGCAAATCAAATTGTAAAATATATTGTACAAGTAGCATGATTGATAAAGTATTCTTCAATTTATCGAGGTGTTTTCAAATTTTTGTAGATTTTATCCAAAATGCAGGGATTTCAAACATTTTAAACTCGTGAGCATATCAATCTTTGAATGGTTTTCGTCCAAATCCATTCATTGACTAAAAGTCAATGTCTGGCCTTAATTTGATTATTTTTTAAAACAGTAAAATGATCTTTTAAACATTTATTAATTGAAAAAGTGTAATCTGTCTTGGAAAGTTCCAAATCTCGAAAAATTACAATAGAGTTGTCAAACTTTTAATAATGTGCACTAAATAGGACCTCTAATGATTTCCATGCAAAAATTTGTTAGTTCACAAAAATATCCATATTCTCCAATCCCCACATCCACACAAAACCAATGCTTAACCCCTAACCCATATTTGGTATGTGGGGGAACCTCCGTCATTGCCACAGCCATCATCAGTATTATTGATTTTGAAAATAATTTATCTATCTTTATTTTTGCTTCTCATTTTCTTTAAATGTTCTTGCCGTGAAAAAATGGATTTGATGATAGTGGAAAAATTGGGATCAGCAAAGGTGGAGGAATAACGTGGCAAGGGCAACGATGCTATGAAGTTGAAGTTGACCAAAAATATTCATCTTATCTGATTTATCCAATCCCAACCCCTAACTCATAACCTACTCATGGAATAAGCTTCACCTGCCTTGAAAAATTGATCATCAAAACAACCGTTGTGTGAGCTACAACCATAACAATTCCGTCATGGAACCCACCACCACCAACTCACAAGAATCACCCTGTTACCATTGCAAAATCATTGTACAATAATATTTTGACCAAATTATGGTTTTTCATGTAGCCTCTCTCATTTAGTAAGCACAAAGGTCTTTGAATTCCATTAAATAATCCATCGAAAATATATATTTTTCCAGCGGATTAGATTTAGAACTCTACTTACTCAAGACTTCTATTAAGCCCCCGTTTGGTAGCCATTTTTTTCAAAATGCATTTTTCTCTCTATTCTTTTTAATCACACATTCTTTATTAAAATAATATTACACGTAAATCAAAAAAATTTCTTTATTTTTCAACCACACACTTCCCATCGAGTTATTATTCTAAAATACATTTTTACATAAAAATGACTATCAAACACCCCCTAATATTTATTTTTTTCTAAAACTAATAAAGTTCACTCGTCGATAACCATGATGAAAGTTGTCCTTCGATAAAACTCTGTTGGCCCATCTTCTAATATCTATGTCCACACAGGATGTTTTCACACAATTTTCTATATTGACATGTGATCACCCGGTGTGCTAATAATGTTCACTAGATAATAAAAAGAAGAGAGAGAGAAAATCAATGCAACCCATAGTCCCTGTTTGGTGGTTTTTACTTTATTTTACTTTGTATACTATTTTCAATAACATTCACATAATCAAATATTTTACATGTATATTTAAAAGTTTTCCTTATTTTTTAATCACACGATTTCTAAAAAATACTAGTATAATTTATTTTTTATTTTTTAAATTTTAATGCCACCAAACGAGGGCATAATCATCCAATAAAATAATCACACATGCTAGAGGACTAGGTCTACGAATAGGAAACTAAAACATACGCTAGAGGACTCGGTGTACAAATAGGAAACTAAAACTCATTCAACACAAAGTGAAAAGGACATGATTCTTTTACCAAAAAAATAATAATAATACTAATAATAATCATCATCATCATCAATGAAAATTAAGTTCGATTGAAATTCACTCGATAAATTAAAAATTATTCTTCTTTGGTTGCTAAATTTTAAGGCTAATATGTTCCTTATGTTAAAGATCGTAGTTCAAGTGAATAAAATACACATGTCAATAATGGAAACAAACGAATGATCACAAATTTAATCAAAAAATAGTCTAATTAGTCGTTTTTTTTTTTTTTTAAACAATCAATATCTAAATTTCTTCTTTCCTTTAAAACCGTAGTTTGCACATTGTAATTTCTTATCCAATAAGAAAACCAAGTGAGTTATTTATTCAAATAATCAATAATAAAGCTTTGAAACTCTAGCGATTTTTTTAACAAAATTAGAGTATCTCCAATAATTTCTCTAAACGTCTAAATAAAAAATGATTCTCATTTTAAAGAGTTAATGCTTAAAAGTAATATCCAAAAGACTCTTTAGTTTAATTTTCTAGAATAGATAATGAGTTTGACTCTCCAAATTTAAATAGTCAAAGTCAGTCTCTATTTTTAATGTACAATGATTACATTTAATAAGTCACAAATTTTAATACTCTACTTTTTAAACTAATAAAAAATACATTTAAAATGACGATCATTGACATATAAGAAAAATATGAAATAAAATATCTTGAAAAAACAAAACGAAGAGTCAAAATAGAGAGCATTGTTGGAGTGCATTGAGAATGCTTTTAGAACCCCGTTTGACTCCCTTTAAAACAAAATAATTTATTTCTTATACTTATTTTCAACCACATATTTACACAATCAAATATTTTATATATAAACCCAATTTTTTAAATTTTTTTTTTTTAACCTTTTAACCACGCGTTTTCCTTAAAATCACTATTAAAAACATAATTTTCACACAGTAATGGTCATCAAACAGGAGCTAGTTTGCTTTCACGCGTTTGCCGTTTTCACTTCATTTTGTTGTTGGTTAATGTTTACGATTTAATTAACGCCAAATTGATATTTGTGTGCAAAAGGTTTCTAATATTTTGTTCTTGGTGTTAACTCTCTCAACCAATTGATTTTGTGTGCAAACAGTCCAGTTGGATCGTTTTCATCCATCCAAGTAAAAGACACTTATACCCTTAACTCATTTATAAACTTAAAGGATTAGTAAACATTGAACGTGCATTACACATTGTTATAAAAATGCTTTATAAGTGTCGTAAAAGTAATATTTAAATATGTGTGAATGTCAATTAATTTAGAATTAATATCAGAAAATATATACACGACAATGAATGTATCAAAAAATATATACATGACAATGAATATTAAATCATTTATTTAATTTCCAATTAAGTAAAATTGAATGTTAATTAGCATACATGGACGTGAATAATGAAATATATCATTGAATGTGAAATCTTAATTAACTTATAATTAGAATTAATAACACTGAAATACATACATGAAAATGAATATTAATTAAATGAATGTGATTGTTAATTAATAATAGAAAATTCATATATTAATGAAAGCACACAAATTAAATAAATATCTCAAATGTATATGTATATTGATGGTAACTAAATTGTTGAATAAATTAAATACATACTAAAAAAGAAAAGTAATATTGAATTGAAATATTGAATTATAGTGAGGTTAGAATCGTTCAAAAAATAATTCACATTTGATATTTAATTAATTTATAATTAATAGTAGGGAATTCACATATAAATGAAGGCACACAGGTAAAATGAATCCATCAAATGTACGTTGATGGTAACTATTTGTTTAAATAAATTAAATACATATTGAAAAATGAAAAATAAGATATTATTAAAATATGAAATTCAATATTGTCCTCCAAAAGGAGGCTCGAACCGAGGCCAATTACTGAGAAGAATTTCACTCGTATCACTCGAACAGGACTTCGATCTTGTCTCATAACTTTTAAGTTTTAGTGTTTCATCCTTGGTTTCATATTTTTAATATTTATTACGTCCACTGAAATTAAAATTCTAACTCGTAATTTTGGACATTCTCACGTGACATGTCATCTGTCTCAAGTTGGCAAAATTTGTTTTGAATTTCTCTACGTTAATAAAAGGATTGCTGCAAAACTGCATATTTGGGGAAAAAAAAAGAAGTAAAAATTGATAAATAAAGAAGATCCCAACAGAACAAGATAGAACAATTAGAGAAAGGGGAATACCACATTATAATTAAATGACATTATTTGGTTACTAGTAGATTTTTTTTATCAATATTGAATTGTTTGGGACAAATCATAGCAACCTCACAAAGAAATGATAAGATTCAAAGAAATATGGGAGAGAAGAAATTTTGCAAAAATCATCCTCTTAACAATTCTTTTTATTTTGCATAATAAAAAAAATAAATAAATAAAAATAAAAGAAAAGAAAAAAGGAGACACCATGTCAACTGCGTATATCACCGATTTCTGAGAACCATTATTTTCCAAAAATTGAGCAAATGATGAATTTTCTTTGACATAAAATTTACTTTCACACTCATCTTTCTTAGTATGACAACCAACAAAGGTACCAAATATTATCAAAATGCTGCCCAGCCGGCTGCAGAGGTTTTGGCAGACCCTGATCCAGCACCGGCAGGAAGGTTCCTCTGCAGATGCCAAAAACCAAAGACACTTACAATTCTGCTCACTAAAATGTGCAAGGACCTCTCGCATCTTATAACCAATGATACACATTAAAACAACAAGAAAACATGCCAATGGAATGGAGAAAAGTTTTAACTTGTAATTATGCAGAATTATTTCATACAAAACAAAACTAGTTCAGAGAAATATGAGATACCGGTAGGCGGTAGCCACTTGAAATTATAAAAGGAAGCCTCAACTGATAGGAACTAGCACTTATTTGATATTTGCAAGATGACAAGAATCATTTTAGGAACTTCTCAATCTATTAAGTGCACCTCGGTGTACAGTATCAAATCATTTAACTTTTTTTTTCTTGTTTAACATTGTCCAATGTTGTCTAATTTGCCTGATGTAGTAGGGTGTTGCTCAGTGGTTAGATTCTTATCTCTACTTTATTTTTCTACGTCTTTCATGCTAAGGAGTATATTGTAATATCCTTTTTGGAAGATGTTAGATTGGGATCTATGGTTTGTAATTTTCTTGAGGCGTCATTTAGGGTGTCAAACAATGTCATATTAAGGCTCACTTTCAAACAACTACCTGTTTTCAAATTGACCAACAAAAAAATTTATACCAATAGGTACTTACTGGTAGACTTACTCATAGCTTAATTCTTTAAGGTTAGTAAACCATGTTCTAAATGTCTATGAATCAGAACTTGGGAGGTTTACTGACTTGGTCACAAATTCTGTCACTCTTTAGAGACGTGGTAGTTGAAGCTTGTTTTGGAAATGCTATGGAGAAGAAATTCGGTACTTTTATTAGACATACGAAGTGAGAAGCAATAAAGTCAAATTTGGAGCAGAAGTGGGGAAGCATCCAGAGAAATATTTACACCGTTCACCTTCACTTGAATATCCTGGTTTTGATTGACTGACGAAAACTTTGATTCTAGTAACTTTCCAAACCAGATTCCACCTTTCTTTTATCCCAGCTTTTTCAGTCCACCAACCCACAGTTCGTTACCACAGCTATTGCATCAGCAAATTTCAAATAATAAGAAACGAATTTCAATATCTTTTCATCAACCAAAAGCAAACATCATCTTGATCCCTACCCGTTCCAGGAAAATCCAAACTACTAATGGCTAGAAACACCATCCTCAGCTCCTGAAGTACATCTTCTTCAGTATTGCCATCATCTATGCAAAATCTAAAGCATCACTGAGTAATATGAAAAATCCTAGAATCACAGCAAGAATTAAATAAAATAAATAAAGAAAAAGTCGATTAATCTGAGAGTTGCAATTTGGGAGTTAGATGGTAGAATTGGTGAAATAGTTTTTTCCTAGCTGCGCAACTCTGTTACCAGGGGCTTCAATTGAAGAGAATGGTAGATGGAGGTTGGAGAGAACTATGTTGGAGAAGGTCTAGGAGAACTGCAGCGGTGTTCTTTGGTGCATGGGTAGACAGAGAGAGAAAAAGAGAGAAGATTCGGAAGTCAACAAATAAAAAGTTTGTTTTTGTTGATGATTCTAGCGTAAGTGAGCAGTACATTGGGAAGTTAACGAGCAAGAGTTTCAGGAAAGTGGGATGCATTTTAAGAAAGTGGACATATCTCCAGCCAGCTTTCAAAAGACGGTCATCTAATCCAAGACTGTGTTCAGAACAAGATTGTTAGGAGGATCTCGAAAAAAATTACAGTATGTATACATAATTGTAAACATTTATTTTGTCCCTACTTTGTGAACATTGTCTGAAAAAGCTATTTAAGGTTTACATTGCATGAGGCTTTCAATAAAAGCCTTGAACATACAACTCAAACGCCATTTTGTAGGTTTATGCCTCGGCTCACTGAGGCTAATGCCTCACTTGTGTTTGCTTTACTATCTTTTTATTTCTGGCCATAACTTTTTGAGAGTTTTTTATAGCCTAGAACGTTTTATGGATTTCTTGATGTCTTTTTGTCTCTTGAAGAGAAGGCGTCATTGCAAGTCTAGGATGGTGACAAAGAATGAGAGAAACTGCTAGTGATGAAGAGGATAATATGGAAATCAAATATGTTTGACAATTCTCTTAAATATCTAGCAGTAGTGATGATACGAGAGACTTATAATGTGTTCTTGGAATAGTATATTCTAATTCTGTTAGGTGAATCTAATTTGAAAAACTTTATTTTCTGCTTGTTGATAGATTTCTGCTTATACGCAATTTAGACTTTCAACTTTCTTGATTTTCTCTAGATTTCAACAACTAGTTCTCCCCAGTTACCCAATGGGAGATCTTCCTCGTAAAATGAGAACATCTTATCAACTCAATGATCTACCATTTATACGCATGTAGAACAGGAGACTTGTTTTCAAATCTTATAATTGCCAAATGCACCTTCACATATAATAATTGATCAATTTCATCACCAACTGGATTTAGCAACGGAAAGACTAGAGAGAAAATATAACAGCATTACCATCCATCTCAATTTTTAAAATCTATTTGAAAATAAAATTCAGTCATCAATATAAAAGATCTGTGGAAGCATAAGACAACAAGTTCAGAAAATTGAGATCGGAGGCTTGATACTTACATTAATTTTTCCAATTCCAAAACACACACATCAATGGAGCAGCTTAGAGAACAGAAAATGAAGACATACCTCAAGTTGAGAGAGATCAGATAAAGGATCATTTGACTGCTTCACAGTTTCCTTGGATCCCTTTAGAGCAGTGTCATGATTGGAAGAATTAATCCTAGCAGCAGCAAGATCGGTGGGTGGGGGCGGAAGAGGAGACCTAATCTTTCCTCCACTAGGAGGTGGAGCAAGGCCAAGGGTTTTAGATTTCCCAGTTCCAGAAAGCCCACTAGCCAACCCTGCAGCTGAAAGCATGCCAGTTCCCCCAGATACTTGATT